GGAGGATGGGAAGAAGTTTGATTCCTCCCGCGACAGGAACAAGCCGTTCAAGTTTGTGATGGGCAAGCAGGAGGTGATCCGCGGCTGGGAGGAAGGAGTTGCTCAGGTGCCTGGAGCTCCTTGGAGTCGCGGTCTGTGTGCCGGGCTGTGCCGTGCCGGGCTGTGCCGAGCCGTGTGCCGGGAGCTGCAGCGTGGGCAGGAATCGCTGTGTGCAGCTCATTCCCTGTTTTATTATTTTTTTTTATTCTATTCCCCTGAGATTTCCACCCCTCCGCCCCCTCGGCGCTGGGAGGTGTGGGCGTGAATATCACCTTCTGCATTGCCACCTGCCAGCTGGCAGGGATGGAGCCGGGCCGGGCCCCAGCAACACCTACGGCACGTCGGTGACTCAGCAGTGACATTTCTCCACTGAGTCAGCTCCGAACGAGCGCGGCGGGAGCGCTCCAGCCTCCAGGGCTGTGAAGCCCACGGAGAGGGAGGGCTGGTGGGCACGGCACAGCTCCAGGCTGTGGGCCCACACCAGGGAGGGTTGGTGGGCACAGCACAGCTTTGGCTCCTGCCTGTGTGACTGCACCCGCTCCGTGCCACGCTGGGGACATGAGCACAAGGGTGACAGTGGCTGGAGGGAATTGACTGGCATTCCGTGCCATCACCTGTGTGAAGGACATCTCAAGCTCTGCTCATTTTCCAGCCCATGCTGTGTGCTTTTCCCCTCTGATGTTCTCCCCATTCCTCTCTTGCCCCTCTGGTTTGTTCAGCCCAGGGCCTTGCTCTTGCCCAATGTAGGGAGAGCAGTGGGGACAGGTCTGTCTCTCCTCTGTCACTCACCTGGTGGTTTTGCCCACCTCCTGACATCCCCGTGTTTCTGTCCCTGCCCCAGATGAGCGTTGGTCAGCGGGCAAAGATGACCATCTCCCCAGATTACGCCTACGGCTCCACTGGCCACCCAGGGATCATCCCGCCAAACGCCACTCTAATTTTTGACGTGGAGCTCATGAAATTGGAATGACCCACCCCAGCACCCTGTCCTCGGGTAAGGAGGGGCAGCTGCTGGCAGGAAGTGTGTGGACTGGGGACAGCTTAAGGCCCCTGTCTTTGATCTTGGGACAATGTGGGGAGGTGGGATGGGGGTGAGAGGCAGGAGGAGTGGGTGGCAATGGGGACTATGAGAAGGAGGGGACAGTAGGGGCCTGTGGGTAGAAGTTGCTCTTGGGAGTCTGGTGAGCTGGGGATCAGATCACTGTGATGGTAAAAGCGAAGCTCCCAGCCTGGCAGGGCGGGTTCATGCCACAGATGTGTTATGGTGCTGGTTGTCTGTGCCTCAGGTTCTATGTGTTGTGTTGCTGCTACTCCCCCTCCTGCCTCTCATGTTGGTGGTGCTTGAAGCTGATGGTGTGGACAGGAGGCTTTGATTATGAGCCAAGAGCTGGAGCACCTCTGCTATGGAAGCAGGATGGGAAAGCTGGGGTTGTTCAGCCTGGAGAAGAGAGGGCTCTGAGGAGACCTTAGAGCTCCTTCCAGTAACTAAAGGGGCTTCAAGAAAGCTGGAGTGGGACTTTGGACAAGGGCCTGGAATGACAGGACAAGGGGGAATGGCTTCACACTGACAGAGGACGGGGTTAGATTGGATATTAAGAAGAAATTCTTCTTTGTGAGGGTGGTGAGGCCCTGGCACAGGTTACCCAGAGAAGCTGTGGCTGCCTCATACCTGCAAGTGTTCAAGACCAAGTGTCTTGGAGCCACCTGATCTAATGGAAGGTGTCCCTGCCCATGGCAAAGGGTTGGAATGAGATGAGCTTTAATGTCCCTTCCAACTGAGACCGTTCTGTGATTCTGTGGGGCTGTGCTCTGGGGTGCAGGGTCCCAGTGGTGGGGGCAGGATGGGGCTGTGCTCCCCCTGTAATTGGAGCCTGACTTCTGCTTGGAAGGCCTGGTGTGGTTCGTGCTGAGGCTGCCATGCCCTGAGCTCCCTCGGCGGGCGGGCGGCTCTGTCACGCTGCCTCTCCTCTCTCCCCACAGGTTTGGCACATGGAGGAATCCAGAATCTCAGCTTCAAGAAGAGTGCACATGACTTTGTACGGAGCTTTTCCTGATAGTCCACTACACTCATTGTATAACCTTACACCTTGATTGAATGCCTTTGGTCACTAAGCTTTGCGTCTGACTCTTCCTCCTCGTATCGTGTTTTTATGTCTTTTTAAACTATACGCCGTAAACCTCAACTCTTTTTGGGTCAAGTTCTTAATCTTATTTTTGTTCCAGGTGTAGACTGCGTTTTCCCAGTAGCACGCAGATGAGTTGACCTTAGATAGGAGTAATTTGAACAAAAGGAATCCTGTTAGTTACTTGTTTTGGTGCAGATTTATGGTGTTTCCAAACCAGAAATTGCTGCTGCTGCAAAAGCCATAGCAGAGTGAGCCTGTTGAGGCTAAAGGGATGCAGAGAGCAAGGTAGCACTAGGACTGTTCATAGGAATTCTGCCTGGAATGGGACAGCAAGGGAGCAGCCTGGCCTTTGCCTGTTCTCCATGCAGGGAGCAGCATCAGGGAAGGGGGGCTGCTCTGCCCCTGCTTCACCCTGCCACCGGGTGAGCCTGCCTTCCCCCCAACCCACTTTTGAATTTAGGGAGTTGGGTTTCCATCAGAGCTCCACCGCACCCTGAAAATCCCACAGCCTGGAGCATTCTGTAAAGAGAAAGGAAAACAGTGGACAAAGGAAAGGTGCTGTTAGCAGGGGAGGTGATGGAGGCTCAACTCAACAAAAACGCCCCTGTCCTCCCTCCCTCCCCCGGGAAAGGAACCATCAGCCCCTGCTGTCCCCGCTCTCAGCACACCTGCCCGTTCTCTCCTGCCACCTGATGCTGGTCATCGCTGCTTGCCTGGTCTCACAGGACACATTGCTGCCCCCCCGTGCCCCCTCCTCTGCTCTGCCCAGTCCGTTGATAACAGAAATTCCTGCCGGTCACTTCCTTCTCCGCCGCACAAAGGTATCCAGTTTATTATTGCAATAAAAACGCTTTATGCTGGCTTTTCTCAGCCCTGTGTCCTGGAGGTTTTTCCCTTGCCCGTCTGTCGCTCAGCACAGCAGGGGCTGGGCTGGGCTGGGCTTGTGGGGTGCTGTGGGTGCTGTGCCCGGCTCACGGGGTGCTGTGGGTGCTGTGTGGGGTGCTGTGGGTGCTGTTCCTGCCTCACAGGGTGCTGTGGGTGCTGCTCTGTGCTCCCAGGGTGCTGTGCCAGGTTCATGGGGTGCTGTGGGTGCTCTGCCAGGGTTGTGGTACTGTGCTGGTGTGCCTTGATGTGAAGCTCAGGTGCTCAGCTCTGGGAGCACAGTGGGATGCCTGGGGCTCCTGGGCTCTGTGGGGAGCTGATGGCGGCCTTCTGGAATTTGCATAATTAATTGCCTCACCATAACCTATTAAGTGTTGCCCTCACAGCCTCGTGCCCTTGCAGCTGTGATTCACCCCAGACTGGGAGCATGAAGGGCAGACTGATGCATGTTCCCAGGGTCCCTGTACCTCTGGGGAAGCCTGTCCATACATCTCCCTGGATTTATCTTGGCCCTTTTTGGAAGCCGGACATGGCACGTGGGACACGGCACTTTGGGCTTGGCTGCTCCAGCTGTGGATGATGTGTGTGTAGGAGCTGTGGATGATGTGTGTGTAGGAGCTACTCAGGCACCAGCACAGGCCAGCGCCCGGCTCCTCGGCTGACGGCCTTTGATCCAGTGCCACCACTGATAACACAGCCACGATCGATAACACAGCCAGTCCCAGCTCCAGAGCAAAGTTTGTGTGTAACAACAGGGCCTGGAGGGAACTGTGGCCCTGGGGCAGGAGCAGCTCAGCCACTGGGATGCATCCAGGAATACGGGGCTGTGCAGGATTGGGGCCAGGCTGGGCAGGAATTAGCACTGCCCTTAATTGCTGCTCAGTGAAGCAGAATAGGAGCTGCTGGGGCACCAGCAGCCCACTCTGCCCTTGGCTGTGGCTGTTTCTGGGTGGAAGCTCAAGGCCAGCTTGGGTTTCTCTTCCTGCAAAGCTTTTTGCTTTAATTATTAACCAGTGCCAGGCAGTGCCATGGCTTCTGGCTGGAGATAAGCCAGGGCTGGGGAGAGGCTTAGGGGACCTTGCTGACCTCATGCCCGCAGCACCTGCATGGTTCCTGCAGCACCCATAAGTGCAGGTGGGGTATAGGTTCTTCCAGGTCTGGTTTTAGGGGGAATGAGGGTTTTGGGGAAGGGACAGACTCCTAGGAACCCTCTATCTGTATAGGACTCTCCCTGCCGCTGGGGCTGTTCTCGTCCCAGGCTGGACACGGCAGCCAGGGGTCATCCAGCTAAAAATAACACCAGTAAATAAAATGTTTCCTCCTGGTCTGGCACGCAGGAGTGGAGGCACAGGGAGCTGGGACGTGCCTGGCCACAGCTGCACAGCAGGACTGGCCCCAAGCCAGAGAGCTCTGGGCTGGTGCCACTGGCTGTGGGCCCGGCTGAGCACCCTCAGCACCACACTGCCCAGCCCCTGAGGACATGGTGTCCTGTGTGGTCCCCGGGGCAGGCAGCAGGATGTCACAGGTGAGTGCTGGAGGGCTGGATCCCAGAGTGACACAGCAATATCCCGTGGCAGTGGGATGCCACATCCACCCCCCGCTGAACTCCGCACTGGTTCAGTTTTTCCACTTGTGGTGTGGGACTCCCACGGGGCTGTCATGCCTGGCACGTGTCCCAGGTGACAGCTGGAATGGTGCAGGACACGGCATCCCAGTCACGGCTGTGTCAGCCCCACGTGCCCGGGCAGTGAGGTGTCAACCGGAGCCACCACCCACGCAGGGGCTCACGGTGGGGCATCCCCTTCATTCCCTGCCAGGGCCGTGGAGCCCAGGATGGGGTGTGGTGGGGGGCCCCCCCTTGGGGAGGCCAAGCCACTTGCTGGGGCTGACAGGAGGGGTGATGCAGTGGGGGGTGCTATAGGCCCATCCCTGCTCCTCCAGGGTGCCCAAACCCACAGAAAGCCATCCCTGTCCCCAGGGCCCTGCTGCCTTCACCTTCCACTTCCTCTTCCTCACCTATGCCCTATCTGTCTGGGCTGCAATCAGCTGAGGCTGCCTGGCCCCTCCCTGGGCTGGGCATGGCTATAAAATCCAGCAACCAAGCAAAGGGTGTCACAAGGATCTGGGAGCTGTTGGCAGGTGAGTGCAGGGGTGCCAGGGTTGGGCTTGGACAGTCTTGTCCGTTGGATGCTGCTGCCATCCCTGAGCTGCGGGTGGGATCCTGCCTAGTTCCCGCAGGGCTCAGAGCTGGGTCTGGATTTGGTCCCTACCCACCAGTTTTGGATGATACTTTTTGGGGAAGGCAACGCTGTGGGGCAGAGCTGGGGGAACACAACCCTGCCCTGGGCACAGTATGAGGTGCACTGGGGACAGAGGGGGCTGATGGGGGGCAGAGAAGCTGTTCCCGTGGGATATCCCTCTCCCTTGTCTGGATGATGCTGGGCTGGCCCCTCAGGGCAGGTGGACATGGGGAGCAGAGGGGCTGATGGGAGGCACAGGGGTTGTTCCCATGGGATATCCCACTCCCCTGACTGAGTGATGCTGGAATGACCCCACTGGACAGGTGGACATGGGGAGTGGGACCTGCCACCAGGAAAGCAAAGCCCAGGTGCCTGTGCCTGGCAGCCACCCATGTCCCAGCCACCAGGAAGTGGTGGCCCTGGTGACACAGCCTTGAGTCATGCCAGAGGCTCTGGGCGACAGTCTGTCTGGGACACCTGGGCCGGGAGGGGGATGCTTGGAGAGAGGTATCCCAGTCCCTGAACTGCCCCATCCCTGTCCCCAGGCAGCAGCAGCGATGGCAACGCTCTACCCCTCCCTGGAGGACATGAAGGGCCATCAGGTCCTGCAGGTCAGTGCCAGCAGCATTCCGGGGGGTGAGCAGACCCCAATGGAGGGTGCACAGGGTGAGGGGCACAGCACTGAGCAGACCCCATCTCTTGGCAGGCACAGGCAGCTGCTGGGGTGAGGACTCCCCCCACCACAGTGGTCACAGAGAAGCCAAAGCTCACCTCAGGCACTGGTAATGTGGGGCATGACCAGCTCACCCTGTCCAGGGGCTGTCTGAGGGGGGTGATGCTCACTGTGTGGGGGACTCAGCTGAGATTCCCCAAAACCCAATATGTGGGTGGGGGATCGAATTTGGGGGTTTCTTTCTGCTGGCCCATTGTCCCAGGGGGCCCACAGGCTGGAGGGTGGCAATGTCTGTGGGTAGGGGACCCCAGGAGCTGAGGTCACCCTTGGTGTGTCCCACAGAGCCACCTGTGCTGTACCCCAACCTGGCTGAGCTGGAGAATTACATGGGGCTTGCGCTCTCCAGCGAGGAGATCCAGAAGAACCTGCACCCAGAGGACAACACCGTAGGTGTCTGGGCCAGCTGCTCTCCCTGTCCCACATGGGGTCCCCATGCCATGGTGGGGGTCCTTTTGGGTCCGCATCCTGCCCAGGGAAGGCATACAGCACCCCCCAAGGGCTGAGGTGCACAGGACCCCGTGTCCCCCCCATTCCCACTGACCCCTGGCTCCACCACAGGCCCTGACCCCCGTGGGCCCCACCCCGGGCCAGCTGGTCGCCCCCCTGACCGGGAACAGCGCGGGGCTGCGGCGGGCAGAGATCAAGCCGGGCGTGCGGGAGATCCACCTGTGCAAGGACGAGCGGGGCAAGACGGGGCTGCAGCTGAAGAACGTCGACCAGGTGAGGGGCTGGGCTGGCACGGGGCTGGGCACAGCACAGGACCCCGTGACGTGGTGCACTCGTGGCATAATCGTGACAGTGTATCACGGCACGGTGTCTCATGGCACGGCAATGTGTGGCATTAAATGCCACAGCGTGCCATGGCACGGCAAAGCAGGGTGCAAAGGGCATGACGCGGCATTCCATCGCACCGTGCCACCGCTCCTCTGTGTCCCCAGGGCATCTTCGTGCAGCTGGTGAAGGCCAACTCGCCGGCGGCGCTGGTGGGGCTGCGCTTCGGGGACCAGGTGCTGCAGATCGATGGCAAGAACTGCGCGGGCTGGAGCAGCGACAAGGCACAGCGGGCACTGAAGAAGGCGAACCCCGAAAAAATCGTCATGGTGGTGCGGGACAGGTGAGCGGGTGGCAGTGCTGGTGGCAGTGCTGGTGGCAGTGCCGGTGGTGGCAGTGGCAGCACTGACCGTGCTCTCCCACAGGCCTTTCCAGCGCACTGTCACCGTGCACAAGGACAGCACTGGCCACATCGGCATCGTGGTGAAGAAGGGGAAGATCGTGTCGCTGGCCAAGGACAGCTCAGCCGCCCGCAACGGGCTCCTCACCCACCACTGCATCTGTGAGGTGAACGGCCAGAACGTCATCGGCATGAAGGTAGGGCTGTGCCCTGCTGGTGGCACAGGAGGTGCCCAGGGAGTTCAGGATGTGGCCAGAGAAGGTGTGGGGGTTCTGAGCAAAGCTGGGCACCCCACAACCCCTCCCTGCTCTCTCCCACAGGATAAACAGCTCACGGAGGTGCTGGCAGGGGCTGGGAATGTGGTGACGCTGACAATCATCCCCACTGTGATCTATGAGCACATGGTCAAACGGTGAGAATGTGGGGCTGCAGGGACCTCCACACCCCACAAGGCCCCCTGGGTTCCCCTCACTGATCTCCTCTCCCTCTGTCCCTCTGCCCAGGCTCTCATCAGGGCTGGTGAAGTCATCCATGGACCACTCCATCCCTGACCTGTGATGCCATCACTGCCTTCCTGGGGAGCTGACACTGGAAGCTGGGAGGAGCTGCTGAGGGGACACCACAACACCTCAAAAGAAGCTTTTTTAGTGTGAATCTCCTCATTGCTCCAGAGGCTGGTGGCTGCTGGGTGGTTCTTCCTCTCCTCAGAAGGGGTGGGGCAGGTGTCCTGTCCCAGGGTCCCCATGTCCCCCTGTCCCTGCTCAGGCCATCCCCCCTCAGGGTGGACGCCAAGGGCTGGCTCCAGCCAAAGCAGACACAGACCCAGCAACGTTTATTACATCCACCACAGAGAGTGAGTACAGGACAGGGGAAACAAGAAAAGGGGGGTTTACAGCTTTTTCAGTTCTGTATTTAAAAAATATATTATATAGATTTGTCTTTCAAATATAATCGTTACATTTATTTCTTGGCAAAGCTTTGGATAGTCTAACAGACGTGTACACAGATCCACAAATACATTGCACGAGAGGCGAATATCCCAGCTCCGCTTACATCTGCCCCGGCTGCCTGGACACTGCTGCTCCCCAGATCTTTTCCCCAGCACCTGGTGCTGTGCTGGTGGAAGAACTGCTGCCCCCCACTGCCCCCCAGCACAGGCAGAGCCGGCGGATGGGGGATGCAGGGAAGCGTGGGGCACGCGGGATGTGGCTCGTGCCCCTGCAGGGACCGCTGGGTGCCAGTGTGTGGAGCATCACTGGCTCCCAGAGCACCCGGCCAGTGGCACCCATGGGTGGGGGAGTGGGCTTGGGTTGGGGTGGGGGGAAACACTGTTAGTTCAAGTCACGAAGAAACCACAGACATTCGTGGGGTGGGAGCGCGGAGCGCCCGGGGGGAGCCCGAAGTCCCGCGCCCCAACAGCCCCGCTGAGCAATCCTCGCTGTCTTTGCGTCTCGACAACAACAAAAAAAAAGGCATTTTTCTGGAGGCCACCAGCAAAGCGGGGGTTTGGGTGGGCCAGGGGGGCAAAGGGCTTGGCTCTGCCTGCACGGCACTGCCCGCACCCCGGCAAAGGCATCCGAGCTCCAGCACATGGTGGGATAACCGGCATCACCGCTGCCAAAACTGCGAGAGGCCCCGGACCCGCTGTCTGGCGGCCAGAGTCCCAACAACCGGGCTTCAGTCTGTACCCAAAAAAAAGTGAATATAGTGCAAAGCAAAGGGAGGGAGAGCCCACGGCTTCCTCAGGGCACTCCATGTGTGAGCAGCAGCACAGTTCCATCCTGGTGTGGGGAGGCATCTCCCAGGGAATGGGCAGCTGGATCGAACCACTCCGGAGCTGGTTCCTGTTTCCGGGTAGGATCCCCCCATCCCGCTGCCCACAGACAGACTCTGCACCTGGAACAAGGAACCACTGCACCCCCAGCACTCCCTGCTGCCAGAAGCTGCTTGCCATCACCCACCTGTGGCTGGGCTGACCCTCGGGACAACCTGGGGACAACCAAAGTGTGATGGAGGGAGAGCCCACCCAGTGGGTGGAGCCCCCTGCAGCCAGAGGCACGGGCAGGGATGTCCATCAGCAGGGGGTGATGCTTAGTGCCCCTCTTCCAACAACAGTCCTTTCCCTCCTCCAAGACAGAGGAGCTGGAGGGGGCAGCACACCCTGACACACCCACAGACCCCTCCACCCCGTCCCACCCGCCAGTGCCACACCAGGGTTTTACAATCAGCAGTCGGGTCCATGGGGGCGGGTGGGGGTCTTCGGGGGGGTCAGGGCTGGGCGCTGCCCCCGGGGCCAGGGCTGGCGACGGGGCGACAGCCCATCCTGCGGATGGAGTGGAGGGCGACGGTGCAGCAGCCCCGCAGCAGGGAGCTGATGTTGTAGATGGGCTGGCCCTGCCGCCGCTGCGAGCGGCACAGCCAGGCCACCGTGGGCACCGCCGGCACCACCACTGCCAGCAGATCCACGATGAAGTGGCGGCTCCAGTAGCTCTTGGAAGGGTTGTTCTCGCAGCCGGTCGCCTCCGTCAGCTCCTCCTCTGCCACGCAGGCGATGGCCACCGAGGGGCTGGCACTGGGGGGCTGCCGCACTGCCGGGTTGCAGGGGGCACTTCCCTCAGCACCGGTACCCGCCGTCGTGGCATCGGGCTCGGCCACCAGCATGTCCGTGGCCCCAGTGGGGTTGGCGAGCTCAGGGACGGGCATCGTGTCTTCCATTTCGGAGACCCAGGCGGAGGTGGGGCTGCCCAAGCTGCAAGCCTGGGACTTCATCACCTTCTCCAGGATGGTGTCCAGGTCGGGCTGGCAGGGTACGAAGTCCGTCTGGATGGCCCGCTCCTGCATGCAGCTGGCCTGCACCCCTGCCTCCACGCTGCCCCGCAGTCCCAGCACCTTCTCGTAGGTGTTGTTGGGGGGCAGGCGGGTGCCAGGCTCACCCCCCACCTCCAGCGGGTCCGTGTGGCCCGGAGCCTCCTCCATCCCCACGAAGCCACTGTCGGCCCCCTCGTCCAGCGAGATGGTCTGTGAGCCCCCCACGTTGCGGTCCCCGGCCCCCTGGTCGCTCAGCTTGGTGTAGGTGGAGCTGCGGGTGAGGGATCGGGCTGGGGACCCTCCGGCCGACTCGCCGGCCCCCTCCTCCTTCAGCGCCCCGTTCTGCGCCACCTCCATGCTGTGCAGCAGCGTCTCCAGCTTCTTGTTCTGGATGTTGATGTCCACAAAATACTTCTGGAGGCCCTTGTCCTTCTCCAGCAGGTTGTTCTTCACTGTGTCGATGACCTGCTTCAGCTGCTTTATCTCCTTGCGGGCCTCCTTCAGCGCCAGCTGGGCCTCCACGCGGTGGCACTCCTCCTCGATCCAGTCCTCCTGCATCCGCGACAGCTGCGTCTTCAGGTCCTCGATCTCAGCGTCCCTGTGGAGATGGGAGGGCACCGCCACAGCGCTGAGGGGGCTGCGGGGACAGCCCTGCCCTCGTGTGCCCAGCACTGAGTTGGAACCAGATCACCCAGTAACACTCGTGACTGGATCCAGTGGCTTGAGGACCCTCATGAGCAATGCTCAGGACCCCAGGGGGTGACACTCAGGGACCCCGAGGAGGGATGCTCAGGGAACCTCAGGAGCAATGTTCAGGGAGCCCTAAGAGTGATGCTTAGGGACCCTTGGGAGTGATGCTGAGGGACTCCTAAGAGTGACGACCAGGGACCCTCAGGATTGATACTCAGGGACCCTCGGGATTGATGCTCAGGGATCCCCTGGGAATGATGCTGGAGGATCCCTGGAAGTGACACTCAGCCTTCTCCTGGAGGGGCTGCAGCACCCAGGGCTCCTGAGGGCTGCGTGGGGGTGGGCAGGTGCCCTGGGCAGGCGTGTGGCAGCTGGCATTCCAATGAGGACATGCCTAAGCCCGAGAGGAGCAGATGGGGATTAGCCACCCTCTGACGCTGAAATTCAGCAAAAGCACGGCAGGGACTTAACCAGGGCAAGGGGAGAGCGCAGCCACCACAGGTGGGACGTGGGGCTCCGTGGCCTCCTAATCTGCAGCTCTGGGTTGGATGGGCAGCAGTGCCAGACCCCTGCAATGCCACAGTAGAGCTGTGATCTTGGTACCTGGGCACGAGCCCGAGGACAAGATGCTGTGCTGGGAACTGAGACCCCCAGAAGGACCAGTCCCAGACAGGAGCTGCCATGGCAGGCGGTGATGGCTGGTGCCAGGACCCTTCCCGGCAGCTCCCGTGCCAGGGAATCAGTGCCTGCTGCTCCCGCGCTCACCTGTCCTGCAGCCGCTCCTGTGTGTCCTTCAGGCGAGCCTTCAGGTGCCGGATGCAGACCTCCTTCTGCTGCAGGGGGGTCAGGTACTGCTCCGGCGTCGGCGGCTTTATCCCATGGTTGTCACTGCAGAGGTTGTACTTGGACGAGCGCCTGCAGGGACACGGATGTCACCCACTGCCAGTGCCAGGGTCAGCACAGGTTCGGCCCAGGGGTACCAACCTGCTCCTGGGGTGCAGCCCCATAGCACATCCCAAAGGAGCTCTGAGAGCAAAAGGGGCAGGATAGGTGCCCAAGGGTGCTGTGCTGCTGGCAGGAGGGGCAGGATGCATGTTTCAGGTGCTGTGTTGCTGGCAGGAAGGGCAGGGTGGGTGTCTCAGGTGCCGTGTTGCTGGCAGGAGGGTAGGTGCAGCTCCTAGACCCACTAATGCTACTGGTGGGCACTGACCCTTCTGTGGAGCTGGGATTTCGCTAGGGCATGAGCAGAGCTGGGAGCAGGTGGGCACCGAGGTCTCTGTGTGCCCACAGTGAGCTTTCCAGGAACTACTGATGTGGATGGAGAACCCAGGGTGGGATCAACCCCATCAGGAATGGAGGCAGAAGATGGGGAAGGGAAGGGTTTGAGAAGGAGCAGGTCTGGAGATGGTGGGTGTCCTGCCCCTGGAGAACAAGTCAGGGCATCCAGCATTTGCTCCAAGCTGGGCCAGCGGCACATCTGGACCCTCCTTGTGCCACCCCTGGCACTGGGGTGGAGGAAGTGACATCTCTGGCCCAAAGCCTAGGGCAGTGTAGAGAGCTGGGGCTGCTCAGGGAGGCTGGTTTTGCACATTTAGGGCTATATGGTGGGCTGGGAGGCACATGGAGAGCTGGGAGCAGCATGAGCGGCTCCTGCACGGCAGTGGGGGAACCGAATTCCCCATGCATGGCAGCAGGGTGGTGGGAATTCCCTGTGCATGGCAGGGGGCCATCCCAAAGCCCCCATGCATGGTGGCCAGCAGCCCAGCAGCCTTCGGCCAGGGACAGAAGCATCATGTTAGAAGCATCCAGGCAGGACTGTAGCCTTGGACTGCCCCATGGCCACTGTCCCCAGTTGCAGCACTTATGGGCCCTGATCACCATGTCACCCGTGGGCACTTCAGACCCTCCCAGACTGACTCCACCTCTGAGAGCTGGAAGGTGGCTGGGGACATGCAGGAGTTGGGCCTCACTCCCTGGAGCAGTGCACCATGGGCTGCTGTGCCTGAGGGGCTGGGGCTGGTGCTCGTCCCACAGATTGGTGCCAGCTGCTTGTGCCCCAAACACACTAGCAACTCCCTGCTAAGAAGCCGGGGTGCCACCAGCTTTTGCCAAACCTTTGCCAGGCAACACAAGGGGATGGAAGCGAAGTTCTTGCTCTCGTGCCTTTGGTCTGGAAGGATCCAGGTGCTCCTTGGAGT